ACACACACACACACACACACACACACACACACACACACACACACACACACACAGGCCTGCTGGCTCATCTCTGGAGAAAACTCTCAGCACCATGGATTGCCAATAACTCTTCATCTAGGGTGTGATCTTCTGAATTTTTCACATCCATGTTGGCATGTTAATTGGTGTGGACATTCATTATGCAGGTTTGGTTTAAGCAACCATACTGTTGATATTTCATGAATGCAGCATCATGATCATGTCTACATGACATTATCTTAGCAGCCATCCTGTTCCCTGACTCTTACAATCTTTCTGCCCCTCCTCCACGGCAATCTCTGAGCTTCAGGTTGTGCTGTTAGGTCTCCCATCTGGGCTAGACACCTGATGGTCACTTACATCCTGCATTTTTACCAATTATGGATCTCTTTAGTGGCCTCTCTCTGCTGTGAAAAGAGGCCTTTATGATGGGGGGAGGTGCTACATTTATCTGTGTGCATGAGGTAGAGTATTTAAGATACAGTTATAAATTATATTGGTTTAGGAAAGTAGAAGTAGTGGGTTCTCCTCTAGAGTCCATAACCTCTCCAGCCATGGAAGATTAGCTAGGTTTACAATACTAGGCATGAATTTCTCTCCTATTATGTGGGCTTTAATTCCAATTAAGCAACTGTTAATTACCCACAGGTAATGCCTTTGGAGGTATCTTACTAGCCAATCATTTGTTGTAGCTAAGGCTTTATAGTTGGGAGGTCTGTTGATGCCTTGCATAGTACCTTCTGATATTAGGAGATCTAGCCTTCAGAAGGAAGCTTCCATGCCAGTTACAGCTTGATTCCTCCAAGTTCTGCGTCTGAAGTGTGTAGTGTCTTCTGCCATTGGGTCTTACCTTTAAGATCTGGAGGCTACCAAGGGCAAAGGCAATAGCTTATATTGTTGTAAGAGTTTCTCAGAAACTCTTGACCAACAACTTGAAAAGAAGTTTTCAATATGGCTTGAGAGTTTTTGTTAGATAGTCTATGTCTCCTGGAAAAAACATTACCTCACATAGTATAACTGCATTTGAACTATATAAATGCCTAAATGTGCAAGTATACATACATCTGTATCTTTAAGTTAGCTTATAATAATGTTAAATAATATTTCCCTTATGACCTTTTTACACTTCCCTTCCTTTTGCCTTCTCTGTTACTCTCCCACACCCCTAGTCAAAGTTTTTGCCCACCTTTTCCTCTCCCCTCTTCACAGCACCAGTGTACTGATCTTGGCGAACTCCTACTTGTGCCTTCAAGTCCTAGTCAACATCATTTCCGTAGATGACACCCTTCCACTCCCCACAGGATGAAATCCATTCTTTTCCTTTGTTCTTAAAACATACTACCCATCATGCTGAGAGTCCTCTGATAATCTGTCTCCACTCCTGGTTAGATAGGTGTCTCCTCCAGGAGTCCAGAATCTATGTCATTCATCTCAGCACCCACAAAATATTATGTGAAACTGAGCTGCTAGGGAATGAATGATAGTGCTTAACCAGGTCAAAAAATTCTTGTTGCAATCACTTCCTGGAAGGGAGATGAGGAACTGCTTGATGAAGGTGTAGCTTTGGCGTCTCTGGAGAAACCATGAAACTTCAGCTGAAACAGTAAAACATATATTTTAGATAGAAGATGAGTATGAGCTAAAGGTTAAATCTCTTAAGTCCACAAACCAGAGAGAGGAACTAAGTTAAAAGGACACACTGACCCCTGGGCTCCATTCTTGGTAATCACTAATGGCCAGGCCTTGGTTCCTTCCGCTCTCTTACCTTACTACTGGAAGCTTTATGCATATAAAATCAATTTATATGCTTCTTGTTACAGGTGTACTGAAGTTTTGAACTTACCTTCTGCTGCTCGGAGACTTTTCAATGAAAAGGGGAAGGAAGTCTTTTCCCTGAAAGACCTACAGAGAGATGAACTGGTAACTGAGGGGTGTGAAATTGGAAATGGAATAAGTGAGCACACGCAAAGGAAAACACCCTCCAGTGGGAGGTTTCTATGCTTGCCATTCAGATTCCTTCTAGAATTCCCATGAAGGAGTCAGTCATCAAAAAGCAGTGCTAATCAATATACCATTGCTGCCTTTCTAGGCAGTAGGCCAGACCTGCATGACTAAATATAATAGATAAATAAATATTTGTTTATTGAGCCTCTTTTAAAAGTACTCTTTTCTCCACCACAGAACCTAAAGCAGGCTAATTATTCACCTGTGATATCTACGTCTGTTGCTGAAGGATTAGACTCTTGAATCATTTTTAAGTCTATACAATATAGTTATTTGTTTCTTTACTAAATAACTAATTTCCTGACTTTCTCAGTTTAAAAAAAAAGCTTTCATAACTTTCTTCACCGTATGCCCACATCAACAGCATCAAATAAATATGCCATTGGTTGTTTTGTTTTGTTTTGTTTTAAACTCTATTTGGAGCCTGGAGTGAGCTGAGAAATGGAAGGTCTTACACAGCCTAGTCTTTCTCCCATTTGTAAAACTAGAGACATTAGCTTAGGCAAAAACACTGCTAGCCCTGACTGATGCCTGAAGCTCTTTGAACAAAGAACAAAGCTCATAGTATATTACCAAATCTTGAAGCTGGACGTGGTAGCTGGTGCCTGTAATCTCAGTACTCTGAGAGGCTGTAAGTTCAAGGTAAGTGCTGGCTATATAGTGAGTTTTAGGCCAGCCTGGTTTATATACAGAGACGTTATCTCAAGAAAAACCATCACACACATGCATACATGTACCTGGTGCATGCAAACACACACACACACACACACACACACACACACACACACAGGCACACAGGCACACAAGACCAAAGCAAAATAAAACCAAGACTTTGGCTAGTGCTCTGAAATCTGAGGACCTCTTGAGTCTGAAAGCTGCATACAGTGAGCAGTGCATGCATACCATGAGCAGCATGAGAGGCAACAGGTGAAGAAGCCTTGATCTTGCTTTGGCATGCTTTATGTGAAATCTGAATTCTATCACCTCTAAGAGGTTTTGTTTGTTTTTAGTGTTTCTGTTTGTATGTGATGCTAGGGTTACTCAGCGTTCTATTTTTTTTTCCAGATGGGCAGACTACCTTAAAATAAATAATAACAAAAGATAAATGTGGCCTAAAGATAAGTATAGAGGAGACACCAGGGCACAGGGAGTATGGGTGTGAGGAAGACGAGATGGAGTAGGGAGTATTCACAGTGTTTAACTCACCATTTGGTAAGTGTGAAGATAGGAACAGGACCAGTTGTTAGACTTAGTGTCTGTGGGAGAACGGGAGGCCTGTTGCTCAAGAAGACAGTACCTAAGAGGGTCTCTCCTGTGTCCTTATGGAAAGAGCTGTGTGAGTGTGTGATAACGTGAAAGGTGGCACTGGGCTTCTCTTCAGACTGAGCCCTTTTCAACATGTCATTACTTCTCATCTTTAAGAAACTATACACCAGCTGTGGTGGTGCATCCCTGCACTCCAGCTGTCAGGAGACTGGAACCAGATTGATTTTGAAGCTCAAGGCAAGGCTGGGCCATACAGAGGGTTACTGTTAAGTGGGAGGGCAAAAGGGACAGAAGGAAGATGAGAAAGGAAAACAGGGTATTTAAGGAAATTTAAGAAACAGATTCTAGGAAAATGAGGATGTCACCTCTAACACACTATCAGAAATGACACATCAATATTTTGAACACAATTTTAATGTTGTATAATAAGCTAAAACTACCTTAAAAGAGAACTATTATTATTATGCAATCTTTTTAATTGAAATAGAACTCTTCACCTTTTTTTCCTCCAGTTGGTAGCAAACCACCCTTCTTCAAAGCCCCCATGTTTCTCCACTCTCTCAAGTTAGTAACCTCTTTTTCCTTTGATTATTATTTGCAAAAAAAAAAAAATCCATTTTTCCTCCCAGCCCCTGCTGGGATCCTAGCCCTGCAAGAGTGGCACATGCTCTTAACTGCTAGCCATGTCTCTAGCACACATTAATATTTTGGTGTTTATATAATGCTACAAGTCAGAGTCTTAATTTTTTCCAGGAAGGGGTAGGTAGTGAGATCTTAGGCTGTGGTGACTATGTGGTCTTCACTGAAACACCAACAATTGACTTCATTCAAACAAATGGCAAGCTTCTTTCCCAGTAAAGTTGTATTTACAGAAAGGACCAGCAGCCCACATTGGCCATTGTCACAGTTTGACAGCCTTTGACTACACCTGCATTTCAGTTCTTTTTTTCCCTGTCTTTGCTTCCATCTTAGAAAACTTATTTAAAAACCTTTTTATTTATAATTGACTATGGACCAATAGGAGTTGCAAAAAAGGTTGTGAAGCACTTTTGCTGCACTGTTTTGTGTTGTATAGCAGGCTAGCATCTGCTGGCAAGAGAGGAAGAGGCCTGGAGTCTTAAGGCTTTGCCTCCCTCCATGTACTCTGAAGAATTGGTGCCTTTCTCAGCAGTTCCTTCTTTTTCATTACTGGGTGATATTCCATGACACTGCACTCTGGCTGTTCTCCCATTGTAAGGTATTCCCATTGCTGAGATTACTCCTATTTTGAGGTGTTTTGAATAAAGGTACTTCGACCCCCTACACACCATATCCCAGACTCCTGTCTTTGATAGGTATATGTTTCATGTGGAGAACACTGGATCAATCCTGACCTCTCCATTGCTCAACAAAGGAAGCAAGTCTTCCGAAGGAGCCTTGAGTTTGACATTTCCAAGATTAAAACCTTTTGCAGCATGCGCAAGGTGGAAGGTAAGCTTTGAAGTTATCTTACTTTGATGTCCTAACATACCTGATGACATTGGTTTCTACAGGCATCTTGCTGTTTAGCTCTTTAGCCTCATTTATTAAAATATATTTAACAGGGTTGCATATTTTCTTACCTAATATACTTTGGAAGAGCAAAGAGATTTTAAAGACACAACATAGTCTGTTTTATCTTGTACAGATATATAACTATTTGTGAGCCCCATGCATTCTCATCAAGGAAAACGAATTAAATTTCCAATCACGTTTAATGTTGTACCATCTGTTTATGTAATCAATCTCTTAGGGCTTTAGGAGTTTTCAGTCTGCAGAGCCCCAGTTGGCTGAGAGGAAAAAACTTAGGATGTTGATCTTCTTATGTCTGGGCTCCCAGGCTGGAGTCTATGTCTTCACTCATTTGGCCCAGATAGTATTTTGAGTGGCCTCTGTGCTTCCTGCCTACCTAAGCTTGCTTCCTTCTCTGTCTCGCTTTCTGAAGCCAGGCACTGACCTCTGGGTTACCCCTGAAGTCTTGGCTAGAGAGCCATCTCACCCTTATTTAATTTAGGAAGTTTCCAGAAAGCATCTTGGCAAATCATAGGTCATAGCTGCACCTTCAGAAAGCCAAGCCCATATGTATGTAGCCATGAGAGATCATGCCACAGAGTCCTTATGTTTCCCTAGCATTTCCACAGTGAAGCCAATATGGGGAAATAGGATTACTTTTACCTCTGTCCTTGTAGGTTAACACTGAACTTCAACTCTTTGTACACTAAGTGGGAGGGAAAGGCTTGTAGGAAACTATGCATTGGTACTGTATTTACTGACTTACATGGGTGTCGTCTTAGGATAGTATGGCATTTGAATGTCAGTTGGTATTTGGGGAAAGAGGTCAGTTAGCAAACTGCAAGCCACTGGGATTGATCGCTAGTACTCTTGGAAACAGTCAAGTATAATGGCAAGAACCTGTGATCCCAGCACTGGCGAAGCTAAGACAGACAGACTGGCCAGCTAGATTAGCCTTTTCAGTGAGTCCCGGTTCCTAGAAGAAATTTCTGTCTAAAAGCAAACAAGATAGATGGTTTCAGAGGAACAACATAGAGTTGGCTTCTGCCCGCCAGCCCCCACCCCCACTTCTGTCTTTGTACTTTCCCTTTTCTCTGTAGCATCTCACTTTTCCTTGTGAGATGCCGTTTTCTCTTATCAAGTAAGGAAAATACATGATCCCACACATGTATTTAACGCCAAGGTTTCACATACATATTTCACAGTATTGAATTTCATGTTTGAGTCCCAGAGAAATTATATATATATATAAGCATCATTCTGTTAAATAAAGACCAACTTTTTAGTTTAAGAAACACTCAATGGCTTCCCAGTACTCTACAGTCATAAGTAATATGTCTTTGCAATTTGTTTATTTCTACTCAGCTCTTGTTTTAGAAGTCCAAAGTGACCTTGTGTGTGGGGGCAAGCTTGCTGTGAATAAACCTGTAGCAGATTTTGAAGAGGAGAAGCAAGTGAAAGGACCAGAGGGGAGGCAGATGGGAAATGCTGCTTTAATAACAAGAGATGCTCCCAGAGAGACTCTGTAAGTAATCACTGTGGCTCAAAAGGGACCAGGGCTCTGTGACTGCAGCCCATCCACCTGTGGTAGTGTGGAGCCCAGCAGGGAACTCAGAAGTTTCTGAAATTCGGTCACTTGAAGACAGTGTTTAATTAGTTTTCTAACAGATGAATGGAGCCAGAGCTTGAACCGTCATCTTTATCTTCTTGGATGATGTAGCTAGCCACAATGTGATGATTTTTAAAAAGACATTGCACTTTCCTCCTTTCCCTCCCTTCCTCCCTCTTCCTTCCTTCCTTCCTTCTTTCCTTCCTTCCTTATTTATTTATTTATTTAATTTATTTATTTATTTATTGTTTAATTCACCATGTTCTGTCCTGGCAAACACTGAGTCATTCTGAGCCATTGAAGTGGTTTCTGGAGGATCTCCAGGATCTCTCAAGCCATCTAAGCTTCATTTGTAGACTCTTTCTAGCACGTAATTTTTTTCACACAGTTCCTCAGTGAGTGTGTACCATGACAAGCTGAATAATGATCTGCTCTCAGCTGCCCTCATCTCTGCCTGTCAGAGATCCCATTTGTACCTCGTGGTCACTCCCCCATGGCACATCTCTTCTTGGTCTAACATACCAAATTCTAGTAGGTGACAAGCAGTGACCTGAAGCTGACACAATCCAAAGGTCCACCGCAGATACGTCTTTCTGCCTCAAGTTCTTGTTGCACACTTGTCTGTGGTGACTTCACCATCAGTACTAGTTTCAATGGTGTTGTGCATGGATGCCCTTGTTAGACTCCTTCTCCCTGGTCCTTCTTGTCTAACCTGGGAATTCCATGTGAGAAATCTGTATCATGTGCCCTACAAACAGAATAAAAGAATACGTGAGTTCATTTCAAAAGAAAGCTCCAATGACTGCCTAAATTCATTCATCCTTGTTACAAGCTTCGTTTTTTTTATTTTTACATTTATTAATTTTGCATGTGAGTGTTCCACAGTGCAGGTGGGGAAGTCAAAGGTCAAAGGCTTAATTCGCTCCTCCCTGTGTAGACTGTAGGGATCAAATTTAAGTTGTCAATCCAAGCAGCAGATGCTGGTACCTGCTGAGCCATGATTGACTCACCTTGTTACCAACATAGAAGACGCTGGTTTTAGGAAGCACTTTTCTTAATCTGACACGTGATTCATCTAGCCTATGTCTCAAAACTACAGTCACTGGAAAGCATCTTTTCCTTTCACAGACCATTTTCTCCCATGTGGCATCTTCCATGAAAGTTAGACAATCAGACATAAATTTCCTAACGCCCCTTTCGTTCTTCGGAATTTTTCTTCTGGCCTCTGAGTTACCATACTATACTTAGACAGAACAGGAGGCGGCGGAGGATGGGGGGAGTGTCTTAGAGAAAAAAGATCTGCTTAGTTCTGAATCAGCCACATCAAGGCAGGGAGTCCTTAAGGTAGTGGGGCTCGCAGCACTCGGTGCTGCATGGGTCTCGTCCAAACATCTCAGGCAGGCTTTGGGACCCTGCTCCCCACATCCGGCTCACAGGTCAGTTTTGTAGACTCACAATTTTGATGGCTCACAACTCTACTTTGGTGACTCACTCTTAGAAATCTCAGTCCCTTGTGCACGCTTCCATGCCGAACTCCGCTTGTTGCCAACGGGCCCGAGTCCTCACTTGCCTTGGACCCAGTTGTCCCTTTCTGTACCCCACTTTCACTAGTTCCTTGAACTGTGTCTGAGTAGATCACCTTCTTTATTCATTTAAAAAATTTTTTCAATTTATCGTTTAGTTAACCATGTCTTATCATGAAAAGCCATGGTTTTGGCTCCTGTGCTTTCATGCATTCACCCCGTTGTCTGTTATTCTTGTGCACCCGTCCCTTATCATCCTCTCCACGCCCTTCTGCTCTAGCCTAGCCACCTTTGTTCACCTCCTCGGGCTTCGGTGTTCTCCATTACCCTCTCTCATGTTCTTCCTTCCTGTCCAGGAAGGTGTTTTTGCTGACAAAACCCTATGTTAGAAAGTCGCTGTGCTCTGAACATCCTCTGGCAGTGTGCCTCTATGCTCTCTGCTTCAGTTCCTCTCACCAGGATCCTGCCTTGAATTTCTACCCTGGTTTCCCTTGATGACAAACTGTAAAGTGTAAGCCAAATAACCTTTTCCCTCTCCATGTTGCTTTTGGTTAAGGGCTTTATCTCAGCAACAAAAAGCAAACTACGACAGAGGGTTAGTGGTCATTGCTGTTTACAGTGACCTAGAGATACTGAGATTATACAAATAATGCAACACTAGCGATAATAAAGATGAAAGAAGATTCAATTTGTAACTCCAAAGAAATGAAAATATTGCTAATACTCAGAAAATGGTATATCATATTTATGCATAGTTTCTATCTCTACTTATTAAAGCTTATATTTTATATAGTAGGAAAAAAAAGAAAGAAAGTCACTGTGCAGTTTCTCTGGAGTCCCTCAGTCTGTGTCTGTGGAGGATCTAGCACCTGAGGACTGAGATGACTTATGGAAGGACATCCATGGAGCACGCTCTGAGGACATAAATCTACAAGAGACCCTTCTTTCTTTTCTGATGAGATTTTAATTTAATTACAGCATTTCCACCTTCTCTTTCCTTCATCCAGACCCTCCAATTTGGCCCTCCTCGCTCTCCTTCAAACCCGGGGCCTCTTTTTCTCACTATCACACGAGTATAAGTATGTCCATGTATATTTCTAAGTATAACCTGCTCAGTCCATATGTTACTTGTATGTATGTTTTAGGGGCTGAAGGTGGGTCTTTTTCATCACTGGGTTCTGTGGGGAGATGTGTGGCAAAAACCTGTAAGGAGCTGGGTGTGAACGAGCCTAGGTACTGACCGGGCATCCCTGCTGGTGGGAAGCCATTTCAGAGCACAGAATGTTAGGTTGGCCTTCTATTTTCTCAACATTGCAGACACTGTCTCTTCCTGACTCATGAGCTCTGAGTGGATCTACCTCCCTAACCAGTCACCTTGTCATATTAGCATCTTCCTGTTCCTCCAATGACTCAAATGAATTCTTGATTTGCTTTTTGCTTGTTTGTCTTTGTTTCTGACTAGAGTGATCTTCACATAGGAGATTTCTTCCCAGCCCTTAGTTTAACACAGCCTCTAGAGGACTCCAGACCCAGGGCAGTGACTCCCCCCTGCAGTACTCTGTTTCTTTCCACCGGACGGGAGGAGCACTACTTGTGGTTATTCATTTCTTTGTCTGTTACCTTTCTTCTTCCCAAAACAATATGAGCATCATGAACTGAGAACTTACTTGTCCTGTGCATTGCTGTACCCAACACAAAGAGTTCTATATCTGGCATATAGTAGATGCTAGATAAATATTGGTTAAAGGAATGACTAACCAATGGAGATGCAGCTCATAAATTAGCAATTTGGTTAATTAATCATTTAAACAAGATAAGTTTTGTTAAAGGCTTTTCTAAATCTGACTGGACTACATTTGACTTACCAGGAATACCAAAGGCTGGTAAATTCCAAGTGGATTGTAGGGTGAAAGTGGCAGGGCTGTGCTTTCTACTTCAAACACAAGATGGCACTGGTGTATTTTTCAACCACTGGGGATAGGCTGCCGTGGGAAGCTGCTTGTGCCCAGGAGGCCTTGGCTACACTCCAATCCTATATTCATAAGCAGCGCTGGCCCTGGCCCTCGATAAGTTCACAGTCACATGTGTTAGCACCGCAGCTGCCCTGGAAGGTTCCGCTCATTTCATAATGCTCGTAGTTACATCAAATTATCACCGTCACTTGAGTGTCTGTCTACAGTATACCCCAGAGGAAGGGTGCTACTTACCCAGTTGAATGCTGGGGCTGAAGTACACTTGCTGCTTTGCCTGTGTGTTTATCTCACCTTTGGCAAAACAGTCTTTATAATGCTATGTCCCAGTCCCACCCCAAAAAATGTGTGTTCCAACAGCAAGTCCTGGAGTTTAGAATCCGTGGGTCTGAACAGTGGGCGCTACACACACCCATCTGTGTCTTGAGCATTCAAACCATCGCTATTGTATTCTAGTGTTTCCGTGTACTTTCCTCAGTGAAAAAAGCATGTGTGCAACTGTGCTTTGAGGCACTTTAGATTCCTCCCTCTATTGAGAATAAAATTTCTTAACATCCATAACACATGCCACCCTGTCATCTGGGGTTATACTGCTTCAGGCAAAACTAGGACCCACTTTATCCTAGAATTAGGAGTGTCATTTCATGTTCATTATGAGTTGTTGAAACTAATGTTTAATGGTCTTAATATAACTTTTCAATATAATACATGGGCTTGCTTTTCAAAACTAAAACAGCAAAAGTGAATGCTGTTTATTATGTGATTGAGGGATTTTATTTGTAGACCTCTACTAAAAGATCTAAATTGTGTACTAGTGAGGTACAGATCTCCTAGACACCTCCCATGAAAATATGATTTACTGAAGCACCAATATCCTGTATGCTGTGGTCAGGCTGTATATGGAAACCCTGTGATCACACATCAGTGTTCTTGGACTTGACTTTGCCCCTGCATCTTAACAGAGATTCTCATGCGAGAGCCCATCTCCGAATGGAAGCCTGTCGCAGGACACTCAAGTATGCTTGGCAGGACCCTTCATATAACCTTGCTGCTGATGGCAGCCTTCCAAAGAAAGCAGAGAAAGAGCTCTTTGAACACGTACAGCCCCCAAAGAAACGAAGGTAAAATGTGCAGAAGATTTCTGTTGGTAGGTTCTGTCTGGCCTTGGACTCCCTCACGCTGGTACAAGCACATTCCTTAACATTTTTACTTTGATTTGCTACTGTGTGTGCCAGCATGTACATTTTTTGTCTTGTGATACTGATCAAAGCATTTGGGACTAGTTGGAAGGGGAGGTTCTTTACCGTTCAGCTCATCCTGTGCAGGGTTATATAATGTCTTGGTATGTGATGTGATATACTCTTTCTACTAAACAGTAGTTTCATCTACCTGTGAGTCCTGAGAACTTGGAACAGAATTCGAAGCTTTATTGCCATCGAATGCATGTGAGGATAAATTACTGAGCACTCTTGTCAGACACTCTCAATTCCCTTAAGAAGCTAAGAAAATACATTTTTCCTTTTAAACATGTGTTCTGGTCCTGACCCAATGAACGGCTAAGGATATAACATACATTGTATTTTTTCATCTTTAGACTTTTGCTTAACATTAGAGTGGTTACTAGCACACATGAGTTAAACCATTCCACACATTTAGCAGCTAGCATTAGATCGTGCACAGTGCAGGAGCTTAATGGAGCTCTTCAGATTACTATGTCCATGTATTCCAATGTTTACACTGTGCCACACATCTGCTTAATGTTTTAATGTCCTTAAATAAGAGATTTATTTAAATGAACTTTCTGGTATATCCTTATTCTCTTAGGATAATTCTTCACTGAAAATTTTGGAGCCCAGAACCCAGAAGTAACAGAAGAAAAATATTTCTGTTTGCACAGAACACCATTATTTTCCTGTTTTCACTCTTCATGCCTCTCCTCTTCCTTATTTTGTTTGAATTTCACCTTTTCTTCTTTCACTGTACTGCTTCTCTGTCTGAACTTTCTTACTCTTAGCTGGCAAATGTTCTGTTAGATAAACATTCATTACTTTCATAAAATAAGCTCAGGATTCTACTTTAATTTTCTTCTTATCAACATGTAGTGTGTGTGTGGGTGTGTGTGGGGGGGTAAAAGCTGGTAGAGGCCAAAGAGAGAATATTGCATCCCTTGAGCTGGAATTTGAAGTGTCTTCTGAGCTAATTGGTGGATGCTGCAAGTCAAACTCAGACCCTCTAAAGGAGCAGCCAGCACACTCCCTCCAGCCCCAGGATTCTACTTTCCATACCAGCTTATGGGCATACTACTGGTGGCCTTGCTGTTGTGCTCCTGGAATACTTACCACTGCAAGGTTAATAGACCATGGGGAAGGTCTCACCAACAGAACTGAGCATCTCGGTGCATGCACTTCCAGGAGCCATTTTCTTACTAAAGGTTTCCTTCCTTAGCCATTTCCCAAAGCATAGCAGATTGTGGAAGCGGAGCCATCAGGAGTTTGAATACAGAGATGGGCAAATCATCAGCCTCGCTGCTCCTCGGCTGGTCCTGGGAGTACAAGTCTCCAGACCCCGTTCAGGCACAGAGGTCATTTTGGTGGAAAAGAAATCTGATGAAAGTCGCCAACACTGGACACACAAGGCAGACAGCAGGTAAATCCATTGCATTGGGAGGTTTACACATCAAACTGTACATGAGATCCTAAGAGGTCTGGCATGGTCTCCACACAGCAGGCAGGAATATAGTTGAGCACCTCAGAATTTCTGCTTTACTTGGCTAAAAACTTTTTTTCCTAGTAAAAGAAGAGATAGAGAGATAGGTAAGAATTTTAAGTAAGCTACATTCAACTTTACCAGCTGTTAGATTCAGAAAAGTGAGCTATTCACTTCTTAGTTTTACCTGACCATTGGCTCAAGACTAGGCACTCATCTAATTTATGTTTGCAGCAAAGAGAAATCAAAAAAGAATTCTAAAGTGTTTCCAATTTTGAAATATTTGGAGATTTTTGTTTACCTGTCTTTCCCACTTAGGTGCCTTCCCAGTTTTTCATTCATGAAAATAACTAATGGTTTCTAATCATACAGTAAGTACCACTTACTGTTGATCAGATGCACTAACCTAATTCACTGTCTGGCCTTGGGCCCAGAACCAAAATGCTCACATTTTCTTGAGAATATCAGAAGAAGTCTAAAACAACTTGTCTATGTGATTATATTAAAAAATATTACTAATCTTATTGCATATGATAACTGGTTATGTTGAAATACAAAGAATGTCCTGGTCAATTAAGTGTAAATTTAGAGATTAAAAATGCTAGATATTTCAATCAGTTTTATTTTAGGTTTTCTAGCAAAACTCTGGAGAGATAGCTCAACAGTTAAGAGTACTTGTTGCTCATGCAGAGGAGCAGAGCTCAATTCCCAGAACCCACAGAAGTGTGAGATGCAAACTGTCTTTCTAACTCTGGGGGAATCTAACATCTTCTTTTGGCCTCCATGGGCACCTGAATGTATGCATACAGCAGACATATGTTTATACCCACAGTCAAAAGTAAAGAAATTATAAATTCTAGCAAAATTAAAACGGCAAGTTTCACTTAAGTGAAACAAGACAGAATGTGGACAGTGTTTAGGTCCATGATGTTTCATTGCACATTTCTATTTATTTTTGTGTACATTTGAACATTAATTTAGCAAGGAAAAAATAACTACTTCCTGTTTGTTCTTTATTGCTCTACTTAAAATTCTACCATTACATCTAGTGGGTCTCTCGTGATCTCCTCAGTCTCTTGCATGCTCTACAGGGATGTATAGTCAGGCATTCATGCAAAGTACTTCTTAATGGGAAGGAGCTGTGACTTTCGCTGTATCCTCTAAACATCTGCACTGCCCATGGCTTAGGCCTCTGCACATTGGGACAGATTGAGAAAGCTCTCAGAGGTAGCATCAGCAATCCTGGAATGGCAGGAATGGAGCTTGCTCTACTCTGTCCAATAGACAGCACACAATAGCCATTGGCTGTGTGCTGGTGAAGCTGGAGAGAAACTTGCTGGACAGAACTGCTAAAGTGTTTCTCTACTCCATCCACCAGGGCTGTGCTGTCTGTGTGATGGGGAGCTGCTATAGGCTTTTTTCCTCTACAAATGACTGGCTATATGAACCATAATTCACTCAGTCAGCCGACATTATATATGCATTAAAGCAAGAATGTACCAAAAGTATATTACAGGTCTTAACATTTATATCGCAAATGCAAGGACACCCAATTTGCATAAAAGAAATGTCATTGCATTTTTAAAAAATCACATACTGACCCTGACACAATGATGGTGGGTAACTTCAGATGTCCACTCGTACTAACAGACAGGTCATCCAGAAAAAAATCTAAATAAATAAACTCTGGAATTAAATAATATCATAAATCAAATGGACCTAACAGACAGCTGCAGAGTATTCCAACCAAACACTAAAGAATAGAGTTTATTCTCAGCAGCTCATGAGACTTTCTTCAAAATTGACCACATTTTAAGATGCAAAGCAAGTTTCAGAAAATTTAGAAAAACTGAAATAACATCCTGCACCTGACCACCATAGATTAATGCTACAGGTTATTGATAGGATTGTTTTAGGACTGGAACTTCAGCAAACTAAAAAGATCAAGATTCTTGTTTCTGTAGAACTGGAATCCTAGAGCTACCAAGATATGTATTATATTTAGAGCATCTTTCTGCCTTGTCTTTCTGGATTGTGATAGAGTTCTCATGATTGCTTTTTAAAAATTAAAAATGATTTTTTATCAAAATATATTCTGATTATAATTTCTTCCTCCTCCAACTCCTCCCAGATATTCACTGACTTTCCACCCACCCAAATCCATACTGCTCTCTCTGTCTGTCTGTCTCTCTCTCTCTGTCTTTCTCTGTCTCTCTCATACAGACATCTAAAAATAATAATAAAATAAGATGAAAAAACACACATACATAAACAAACCAGAATAGGATGCAACAAACTACTAAAAGTAAAAGCACAAGAAACAAATATAGAATTTGAGACATACACATTCAGACTCATAGAAATCCCACAGAAACATACCCAAAAACATAACATTCATACTTAAATTTGAATTCAGGCAGAGCTGATGCGTGCAGTTGCATATATAAGGGGAATGACTATGTGACTCTGATTTAAGTGAGCTTGGATATGCTTCCATGCAGAGTCTCATTTAGCATTGTCATTTATTCTCCTGGATACTGGAAAGGAAGGAACAGACAGGGAAGTTAAAGAAAAATAGAAAGAAAAATTTACCTAAAACTCTGTTAGCTGTTGGCTCATGAGCTTTAGAAAACCTTAGAAAACTCTACCCATAGGTAACACTAGAGTTGCTTTCAGACCCTGAAACTCTACAACTTTGTCATCTTGAGGCTATCCTTCATCAAGCCATGGGAAAGTGATGGGTAGTTGGTGGGAACGGTTGGCTGTTAAAATGCTTTCATCTTTTCCCATTTTGACAGTACTATTGATTGCTGCTTGCTCACAGCAGAATAATTATTTACTTTCTATAGAAAACCCATGCTTATGAAACTTCTGCATAAAGCCCCTGTATGCCAAACAACAAGGTGGAAACACTGTATGACAGTGCTATTAAAATGAGCATAGCTTCAAAGCATTAAGACACAGGAATCTATTCTACATAGTAGAATGTAGACATCTTGACGTCTCAGGTATCAGCACTTCAGGAAATAACACTGCAGGAGATCAACATTCATGCATCCATTTGAATGTTGCTGCATGCCAATACAATGAGCTATGAAAATGGCCGAACCCACAGAGGTGAGCCGTATAGAATACTCACAGTCTTGTAGGACCAAGCCATGATAAATGCTGAGGAGGCATTTCATAAAGTTGAATGTCCATTTTGGACATTCAGTGGTACCCCATTAAATAGTACTAGGGGAGAAAATATGAGCATTATCATTTTTTTCACAAACAAGATGGACTTGTTTTCCAGAATTTTGTAATTCTTCACAATGAAGATGTGGGTTTTTTTTTTTAATGCTCAGAAAGTTGAATTAGATATCTGGAACTTTTTAAGTCTTATAGAAAAAACTGTATTTTTTAATAATTGATACCTCCCCACTTTCTATTTGTTCCTTTATTCTTAAATTATTATATCTTATATTCAAGGTGAGCTATATTTTCAATGGCAGAAATGCTACCACTTGTCTCTAATGTAACCATGTTTAGAAAAATAAAAAAGAAATAAAGAATTTTTTTTCTATCCAGACAAAAGCCCTGAACATTTATTTCAGTTCTTAAAAGTGATATAAGAAAAATAACATGAAGGTTTTACTAAGTCATTTGTAATGCTCCAAGACCACTTTTTATTTGACTATTTGTGTTTATTGCCTTGCTTGTTCCTTGACTATTTGCATCTATTGTATTACTAATTCCTCAATCCAGAACTGACCTTAATACTTGCATGTAATTAAAATGGTATAAAAGCAAAAAGGAGGAGGAGGAGGGATGTGTCAGATCTCCTGGAACTGGAGTTACAGGTAGTTGGAGCCAACCAATGTATGTGTTCTTGATGGGTGGACCATGAATAGAGCCCCAGCAGAATATTTTTAAAAGCCACAACAGTGCATAATTATAGCTAATGATTTCCCTTATAACATTTCCTTTTATATACATTAATTCATTTGACTATCATGGAATACACAATACTGTAATATATAGATGGGTAAATTGAAGCATTGAGTTATTAACACCATACAATATGAAGACATGAACCCAGAATTCCATCTCATGTAGCACAACTGTAAAATCCACTTCATCATCTTTAAAACTTCTCAGTAAAAGTAACATGGGCCATAAAGTGTGGGTATAATCTAGATACCACACCATGATTTAAACAGGGAAAATGGATTATGAAGAATTATTAAACTATGATAATACATGAACTATTATTTATAAATTCTACTTAAGGTATTATACTAGATATTTGATAATATCTAAATCAGAATATCATACTTATTTGTTCTGATTAGCTGATAGGATATAAAAAGTCTTGAATTTTCCCATAGAAGAAATGTATAGAAATTCCACCTACATTAATTACAATATGTTATATAATGAGACTGATTATGTCTTCCTAAGGACCTTTCACCTGGTGAGTAACCCAGACCTTGTACTGGCAGTGTCTATGACCAAAGCTAAAAATGAAGCCCATGGCTATCCGGTTATCATTCAGGTAAGATATGCATAGGCCAACAAGAAGCCATGACTTTTCACAAAGCTGCAGGGAGTCTCTGTGCCTCTTTGTTACAGAGCAAAAGAATAGCTGTCATAAAAGGTTATCTTGAATGTCAGTGTTAAAATGTCTTTTTTTATTATCCTATGCCTAGACTTCAAATTGAGCATAGTGAGATACCTCTTAATTTAGTTCATTCTGACCAATGGCAACTGTGGGCTTGCTGGTAGTCTAGAGTTGGGCAGTTACTGCAGTCACAATGGCAAGCATGAGAAACACGCTCAACAGATTTCATGGGGCTCGTGACCTCTGGGGGTGATGGCTGTGAGGAGTACAGACAAGGACCCCTAGTCTGGGTACTGGGGGAAAAGACATGGTCAGTCTTTTTGGAGGTCATGAGCCCACAGTAGTAATTCTAAGTGACCCACTTACAGCACCTTTAATGCAGGTTTGGGGCAAAGACCCAGGAAACTCATTTATAATAGTTGTGTGTTTTTCCTTGCTAAGCCAAGATATGGCTTAGGAAAATTCCAGTTGTGCCCTTACCTTCTGTAAGCTCCACCCTAGTTCCCATTGAGCAGAATAATTATCTCCAAATAACATTTGTTTTATTCCATGCTTTTAGTGAAAAAAATTTTCCAGTTAGGAATCCGAAATCAGGACACAGAATCCAGGTGGATTGAGTCTTATTTAATTAAGTCTTCTGTCCTCATAAACCAGGATGAGGCATTTATTCTGAAGACATGGTGCACATAACATTCCATGCTTCTTGTCGGGTGCCTCTTCAACACAGGCCACAGTGAGATTAAGTCTCATGTGGCTGCATAGTCAGTTGTTTCCTTAACCATTTTCATATCATTGGCAGATATTAATTTCACTCCCCCCGTGTCTGTTCTTATAAGGAATAAACTTATAATGTAATTTGTATTACCTTTTGAGATGTTTTTTAATTTCTAGTAATTCATTGTCTTATGTATTAGATGGTAAGTTTGTGAGAAAACATTAAAATGTTAGATTAATGCTGCTAGAACCTTTCTTATTGCCTGAGAATTTAGCCTTTGGTTTTCCAGGCCTTGGAGGGAATTCTGTTGCCTGACCCATTCAGTTAGCGATTAGGACTTTTTGATTATCAATGTCTTACCAGGTAAGGTAGTTAGTGTATATTATAATGTATAAGAGTATATTATAACATGAGACATCATGACAAGGATTTTTAGAGCTAACATGCTGGCTTGCATCTTGTTAAGTTGAAACTGTTTTTTTTTTTAGTTATACTTGAGATAACTCAACAATGGTATAATTATATTTAAAAAGTTAAATTCAATAGCAATAGAATTAAAATACATATCCAGTTTCTGTTGTGTATTCCGCTGAGTTGTTTAAAAGGCATTTTGAATATCAGTGAATTACATATTAAATTGCCAACAAATTACTGTTTCTCACTTAGTGAGCTGGTGCTTGGGAAGATGGTATGTATGTTTGGCAAGAACGTAAAAGCAATAGGCAAATTCACATGCAAAAGGAGAAAGTCAAGTAATCTTTCTAAAAAATGCTTTCTTGGTCAATAACATAATCTTTTAAATGCCCTTAATCTATAATCCTTCTAGAAGTTTTTCCTAAAGAAATTTTTGTGTATTTACATATATACTACATGTACACATAGTATATATGTATTTAACTATATGTAATATGTATAGTACACATGTATATGTGTGTTATTATATAGATATCTATGTATATATGTGTTAATTATTATTACATTATTATATATGAATACATGCATATATGTATATACAAATATGTATATGCATATAATATATTTGCATATATACATGTATATTATTATATGTATGTATATATACATATGCATATACATATACATATACATATACATATACATATACATATACATATACATATACATATACATATACATATACATATATATATAAGCTTCTGTCTTATTTATTATAGAGAACATTTAAAAAAACTGCAGGTTTAACTATTGAGGATTAGAAAGGATAATATCCCTAAGACAAAATGGTTAATATCCTTTAAAAAATGTCAGAAAAATTCACAAAATAATACTGAGTCAAAAATGATGGAATTACAAAATTATACTTTTTACTGCTTTGTGAATTAAATAATATGCTTAAAATTGTGAAACATTTATGTAATTCTATTTTGATAGTACTTTTCACTAGGTCGTAATTTATACAATAAATTTATGCAATAAAAACAAATGTTCGCTATGCCATCTTATAAACTCACCTGTCCATTTGAGTCCATATTTTGTTGCTGTCTTTTGGTTTTTAGAAATATAAACCGTACAGTAATGGGGCTGCCAATCAAAAGTGGGATTACATGGAAAATAAGAGAGCATTTATAGCCTTTCACAGCACGGCCTTGGATAAGGAAATCACCCTGGCTAATTTTTCTGGCCTTTGCACGTCATCTGTCACTAAAGAAAACATTGATCAGCCTGTAAGTACTAGTTCCCTCTTCCCACAGATAAAAGAGAAATAGGCTCATTTAATAAAGCAAGAAGATTTTTCCTGACGGGAAAGCTTAGTTTCATATAGGCTGAGCACTAACTTGCTTGTTTCAGGCAGGGTCTTCTGGCTTCTGACTTGCAATCTTCCTCTTTCAGTTCCCCACGTATGGGATTAAGGTGTGCACCACCATGTATGGCACAAATACTATTTTGATGAAATCACTTATACTCTGAAGTTTTCATTAGGAAAGAATGAAAGAAAACTATGAAAAGTAAATTAAACAGTCTGTGTAAAACTAATTGTTTTATTGTAGAACATTTCATACATATTCTAAAGCAGGCATTAGTACAGTGAATCTTGATTTGCCCACCACACACAGTCAGCTCTCATCAAAATTTGGTCTCTTTTGCTAATCCCAAATATGATATTATTTTACTTCTAAATTAAGTATGCAATATTATAATTTGAACATTTTTGACATTATCATTATTCCATTGTTGTGATTAACAAAATTAACAATTATATTTGAGCAATATAGTAACCTATTTTTCATCAAATTTCCTGAGTTGTCCTAATAGTTCATTTTACTATTTGTCAGCTTGAGTGGCGACTCAAAGGCGGTCCTCAGGTAGATCTTGTTCATAACCTGGCACATAGTCAGGCAGCAGGCTCTGCATTTGGATTTGTTTTCTCGTGGCATCCTTTGGCTTGTTTCTTCTTCCCCACAAATTCTAGAATTGGGATGCACACGAGAGTCGTCATTAGACCTAGGCTTAGCACTTTCCTCAGAACCTCCATGGGCTTCTTGTGTGTTTCATATATTTAGGTCTCTGGAGGCCATACCTCGCTGCCCTGTTTGTAACGATGCTTTTGGAGGTTTGTCCCCATATTTGGAAACTCCTCAATGCCTTTTCATCCAATCTTATCATTATGCTTCAAATTAGTCAATTTTATCTGATTATAGTTTTCTCCACATTAATTTGCTAAAGTTTTAATCAGAGTATAACCTCACTATGTAGCTATTTCACTAGCCAAAAATAGTTTGAAAGGAAAAGCAGAATAAATGCCTATTTTTTTGAAATTCTGTTTATCTTTTAACTAAACAACTAAAATATGTACATCAACTAAGATATATATAAGATATATATATATATATATATATATATATATATATATATATATATAATTGTGAGACAGCAGTTTAGGCTGAGCTTCCGCTGGGCAGCTCTGCTGGACTTGACAAGAGCTTCTAAAGTTTCTGTAATCATCTTGTGGGGATTTTAGTAGTCTAAGGACTATATAGTCCAAGATGAAGTCTCTCACATGCATGGTGGTTGGCAAGCCTTAATTCTCTCAACTGTTTCACCATTCAAGAAAGTTGTCTCAAGCCAGTTCCTTGTGTGGCCTCAGGGCTCCAACTTTAACTGTAGAGCTCAGGTGCCACTGTGAAAGCTCCTCTCACGCACCTGCTTGTATCTTCTGTTGTCATTGGCCAATGTCAGCGACATAGCTTGCTCACAATCACAGAAAGGAGATAAGTAGTAAAATGCCATACCTCTTAACTAATGGAACAGAAATGTCACCAGTCAAAAGGACACACAAACAGGATTGAAGTAGTTTTATTATGGCCATCTTTAGAAATAATTTGCTACACTAAGAGCCACAATGGTTAGTTTTCAAGTCAATGCCTACCAACCACAATTGATTTCCAATGATGTTGAGTGAGGTCCCCTGCCCCTTTTTATTCGTTGCTTGTATTGGTAGCCTTATTATGAACTCCTGGGAGCTTACATACTCGAAAGCAGTTAAGCTATTTTAACTATCATTCTTTCTCGTCTCGAATTGCCCTTTTTTGAGTCAGTTTGGATACCTTCATTTTGGCTTTGGCATTCTTTTGATATTATTCTTTAACTCCAGGATTGATGTAGTTTCTATACACAGTAAAATTTTATATACAAGATGTTAGATTGTACTTTTCCTGTCCCTGATGATGGCATTAGCAATTCTTCAAAGAAATCTTAATTCTGTACAGAAGTTAAGGTTTTCCAGTATTGACTACTCACTACAGAGTTAAAGAATACCTTAGAATTTCTTTTAATTATTTAATGCTCAACAGATTGGGCATTTGCTGTCAAGCCTGAGGACCTGAGTTCAATTCCTGGAACCTACATGATGTAAGAAAAAAACTAACTCCTGCAAGGTGTCCTCTGACCTCCACTCATGTGTGTCCCTACCCCCTAGCATACAGATCTAGGTAAATAAAAAATGTAAAAAGTTAATTATTAGGAAGCATGACACATTTGGGTCTTAGTTTTAAACTTAGCATTTGACAATGACAAATGTGCTATCCTTATGCTGTGAAGAGTTCTGTAACTGTTATGGTTTAGAAGCACCCACATGGAAGCATCTTTCCTCCTGTTTTAGGGATACTGTTACATTTCACCTGACGGAAAGAGAAAAATCACGTTCTGCCTGGCTTGCGGAAGGTCCATGCGGGCAAAAAAGGAGCTGAAAGAGTTGCTTCCAAGGGTTCCATTCTTCTGTGTTTCAGGCTCAGCACAGAAGTTCTTGCCACAAGGTCCTTTCAAAGTCATCAGTGTTGCCAAGGTACTTACTGAGCTCTGACACTGCCCATGTGATTTTGAAACTTGGATGCATTCAGATCCCTTATTGGTCCCCGGTTCAGGTTCATCCCTACTCATCCACGCCATCTCCCTCAGATGCACCATGCCATCCCACCAGCATTGATTTCTTCTTCCTCATTATAATTCAAATTACATTGTCTTTTAATAGTTCTGTCCAGCCTTTGATGTTAATTGGGCACTTCTGCTAATGCAGTCTACAGACACCTTTCCCTGCTGTTTGTGTGGCTGTTAAGTAGAGAAGAAATCACAAACCTTTATTTAGCATAGCAGCATTTTCCCTACATAAATAGAGAAAGTGCCTCTGTGTGTGTGGGGGGTGGTTGTATTTCGAGGAGGATTTGGCATGTTAGTAACAGTTCAGGCTGTATGGCAGTATTCATACATCCATGTCTAATACCATTTAGAACTCCTAGGGAACTAACACTGCCACATTTCTGTGACCTTAACTTAAAATGGTACCACTAAAAGAAAAGGAGAAAATCCTTCCCTTCAAGTTGAGAAGTTGCAAAGAACAGGGTAGAGGGGGATCTAAACAGCAGAATAAAAAGAAGGTAATCCTGAAATGCGGCCAGCCGGCCAGCCTGGGGATCCTCGTGGATCAGACCTCACTCCCCTATCTCCTGGTTCTGAATTATACTAGAGGTGGGCAGTGACAGGCTGCAGTAAACTGAACCCAAGTGTAAATAACCTAGCAAGAGAAAAGAACCAGTCCTCTGGGAAGCCTGACAGTATTTACTTTGACACTGATAACTGGGAAGGACTCCTCTATGTTACAGCAGCTTAATCAGTGTCTGTCTTTCTGGGCTCCTGAGTTGGGACAGTGAAAGAAAGTTTTCTAAGGGATGCTCTGCACCCTTCTCACCTCCTGTGTACTGGTTGGTTTTGTGTCAACTTGACACAAGTTAGAGTTATTACAGAGAAAGGAACCACCTTTGAAGAAATTCCTCTATGAGATCCAGCTGTAAGGCATTTTCAATTAGTGATCAAGGGTGGTAGGGCCCATTGTGGGTGGTGCCATCCCTGGACTGGTAGTCTTGGGTTCTATAAGAAAGCAAGCCGAGTATGCCAAGAGAAGCAAGCCAATAAGCAGCATCCTTCTATGGCCTCTGCATCAACTCTTGCCTCCAATTTCCTGCCCTGTGTGAGTTCTTGTCCTGACTTCCTTTTGTGATGAACAGCAATGCAGAAGTGTAAGCTGAATAAACCCTTTGCTCCCCAACTTGCTTCTTGGTCATTATGTTTTGTGCAGGAATAGAAACCCTGACTAAGGCCCTCTTCATTCATCATCCACCGATGGATTCCCCCTTGTTGAGTTATTCATTAAAGAAGTATCTGTAGTGTTTATATCCTCTTACTTCAATCCCAGGTTCTCTTGGTCCTGATATCCTTTCTTCTACATCTCTTATGACCCACCTCAAATCGAATCAAACATACAGCAGTAGCTAAGGAAAACCGGAGCAAGCCAGAAAGACAGATAAAGAGCTAAGAAGTCAGTGAGAGGACTAGGAAAAAAACTGAGAAATTCTGATCCAACTCCCTTCCTCCTCCAGATCAAAAATCTATAGTGCATGAAGAAGGCACTATCAAGTGTAGTAGATGCCTGCACATCCATGCAGACTTTAAATGGGAAGTAGAAACAGGACATAACAACAAAAAGGAAATAACACGATTCATGTCAACAGTCACCCTTTTAAACAAACCAGGCTGATTTATCTTCTTCTGAAGCTGAAGACACGCTAAGATATTATGAGAAGTGTCTGTCATCTTTACGGATGAAGACACATGCATGCATCACGTCTCACGGTGGTGTGGTACCTTCATACCAGAAGGTGGTGAAAATAATGGCATACAAAAATGGGGATGGATATCGGAATGGAAAGTTAATTGTGGCTGGAACATTCCATGAGGTAAGTGGCTGTCACTAAAATTCTGCATCTGACCTTAGAGATAATGGTGGTGGCAAGTCCTGATGAGAATCGCCCCACAACTGAGCAAAGGTGTCTCTGTCTGTATCCATGAATTCAAGCTGATAGGATCAAGATCTCCATTTTCCTGTAGAGAGTCTTCCTGGTTGTTTTTCTCTGAATACAAAGTTAGAAAGAGTGAGAAACTAATGAACTGGTTTTCAACTGGCCCCAGAGCAAAGATGAAAAGGAAGAGGGAAAGCAGACTGACTAGGAAGTCTTCACCCTCTTGATGGACAGAATGTCTTCTGCCGCCTTGCTTTCTGTGCACTTCAAGTTACATGTCACCTGAATGGTCTTAAAAAAAAAAAAAAACAGCCACTTCGTTTAGCGTTAGTTACATCTGAACACATACTTGTTGA